GACCACCTCAATGTAGGTGATGTCCCAACCGCGGGATAGTATGAAACGCATGGACTCCACGGGAAGGGTTTGCGGCAAAAACGAGGCGAACGACGCCATCCAGTCGGGCATCGACTGTATCGGCCAGAAGATGCCGCCCAACATAATGGTCGGGAAGAAGGATCCCATTCCCAACATAGCCGCCGACACCTCGTCCGCGCACAGGGAGGATATGAACAGTCCAAACATGACACCCGCCACACCTGTGGGTAATTATTAGAAAAAAACAAATTAATACATTAATGCATATATTGTCCATGGATTCAATTTGCCATCAAAACACGTATGAATAATAAAATTTTTTGATTAGATATTAGAGAAAATGTTTTGAATCGATGTTTTTGTGTTATTTGCTATGATTTCAGACTAAATATGAAATTCAAGAGAACTATTAGGCAATACTGTTGTTAACTATGCGAGTAAATGATTTATTTAGTGGTTGTCCTCTAAACATGTATCTCACATATCTGTGACAAATATCTATGAATTCATTGAATTACCAAAATTAATATTAATTTCCCCATTTTGGAGAAGTTTCATTGCTTAAAGGAATTTTTTAAAAATAAGTTATAAACTTAAATTGAATCCTAAACTATTGAAATAAAGTCATTGAGTGTCCAAATAGAGACAATTGTATGAATGCATACATACCCTGGAAAAATGTGAGTGAGAAGACCCAGATCATAGGTCCCTGTGATGGCACACCGAAGAGTCCGAATGTCGTGATCAACATAAATATCTCCTGAATAGTCAACACTAATGTTTGGGTCATTATATGCGAGGCTAAGAACTCGATGGAGTTAACGCCGGCCACGAGTGACCGCTCCAGTAGTCCGTCCTTTCGCTCCAACACTAACGAGAGGGCCGTGAGAGCGGTGGTCGCGTAATAGGCAATCAAAATGATAACACCCGGTGCCATGAACTCAGTCATAGATGGGTGAAGATTGCCGTAAATGACTTTTTCGATAGTGATGGGAAGGGTGACTGTGGCGGGATTGTAGCCCAGAAGGGACAGGTAGTCCTGTGCGAACGTCTGGAAGGCCAGGAAAAAGGACCGCAACAACACAAACCCAATCACTTGGTTAGACATATCTAAGTATAGCTTTATGTTAGACGACTCTATGGT